CCCCAAAACGCCCACAACTGCGCCTCCAGAGGCCGAAATCCTTGATTGTCCAATGGTTTTTCCAATAATTTAACGTTCTCGGCTTTTCCGACGTTCGCAAATCCATGACGGTCCAAGCAGCTTCCAGAATCGCCCCAAAACAAACCAAACAACTCCCAAGAGGGTCCCAAGACGGCCCAGGAGGGCCCCAATACGGCCCAAAGAGGCCCCCAAGACGGTCCAAGAGGCCGCGAAGACGGCCCTAGAGGACCCCAAGAGGGCTCCAATGCGGCCGCGAAAGGCCCCCAGGACAGCGTCCGAGGGGGCGAAACGCCGCAAAAGCGCCAAGACGGCCGAAAACGCCCCGAAGAGGCCCCAACAGGCCCCCAATAAGCCCCCAAGAAACCTCCCAAAACCCTCCCAAAAGGCCTCCAACAAATCCCCCAAAGGCCACACAGCGACTGGAGTGTAATGTAATTTTCCCCCCTCTGGGCGAACTGCGGCGCAGCGCAAGCCCGGTGGAAGTTGGTCAGTGCGGCGCCCATGATTCGAGCCGGCGCTGGAAGGAAAGATTGGGAGGGTGTATGAAAAAGGAACGGGGGAAATGCCCCAAAGAAGCTCCCAGGAGGCCTCCAAGAGGCCCCCCGAGAGGCTCTCAAGAGGCCCCGCGACGACGTGACTGTACGTGCTCCGGACGTGCACCCCGCGAAGCGAAAGGAATCCACGTCCAGAGGTGACGTCCTGAGCGGCAGCGTTTCCGCGGATGCTGTAATGCAACGTACCCAATGTATCCAATGATTGCATAATTGCCACGTATTGCGCTGTGTTACCTTATTTTGTCACCCCCCTAACCCCCCTTGGGAGCTGCGCCACAGGAGCGGACCAAACTGGCCCCCCCCTCCCGGGGCTCAAAAACTTACCAAAACCTATAAACAAATATATGATTTCGACTTATTGGGCCTCTTGGGGGGCCAAGGTTGGCGCCGGTTCAGGACGGCCCCAGGAGGACCCAAAAAACCCCAATGACGGCCCAAGAGGGCCCCAAGTGCGCCCACAACTGCGCCTCCAGAAGCCAACATCATCGATTTCTCTTGGTTTGGTCATACTTTAGCGTTTCCCCCACAAGCCACACAGCGACTGGAGTGTAATGTAATTCTTCCAACCTGGGCGAACTGCGGCGCAGCGCCAACCAGGTGGAAGTTGGTCACAGCGGCGCCCATGATTAGAGCCGGCGCTGGAAGGAAATATGGGGAGGGAGTATGCAAAGGACGGACGGGGGAGAGGCCCCCAAAAAGTCCCCAGTAAGCCAAATGAAGCTCCCAGGAAGCCTCCAGGAGGCCCCCAAGAGGCTCACAAGAGGCTCCGCGACGACGTGACTGTACGTGCTCCGGACGTGCACCCCGCGAAGCGAGAGGAATCCACGTCCGGAGGTGACGTCCTGAGCGGCAGCGTTTTCCGCGGATGCTGTAATGCAACGTACCCAATGTATCCAATGAGTGCATAATTGCCACATATTGCGCTGTGTGACATTATTTTGTCTCCCCCCTAACCCCCTCCTGGGAACTGCGCCACAGGAGCGGACCTAAGTGCCCCCCCCCCTTCCAGGGGCTCAAAAACCGACCGAAACGTATAGAAAATCTATGATTTCGACTTCTTGGTCTTCTGGGGGGGGCAAGAGGGCGCCGAGACGGCTCAAAATTGGTTTTGGGCGGGCCAAGACGGCCCCGAGACGGTCCAAAATGGCTCCAAGAGGGCCCCAAAAAACTCCAATGACGGCCCAAGAGGGCCCCAAGAGCGCCCACAACTGCGCCTCCAGAGGCCGAAATCATTGATTTCCTTTTCGTTCTGTAATATTTCAGCGTTCTCGCAAGCAGATTCCCAAATCGCTCCAAAACAACCACGAAGCCCCCAAGAGGGCCGCAATACGGCCCAACAAAACCCCAAGACGGCCCAAAGAGGCCCCCAAGACGGTCCAAGAGGCCCCTATGACGGCCCAAGAAGACCCCAGGACGGCCCCAATGCGGCCGCGAGAGGTCCCTAAGACGGCCTCCGAAGGGGCGAAACGGCGCAAAAACGCCCCAAGACGGCCAAAGACGCCCCCAAGAGGCCCCAAGAGGCACCCAAGAGGCCCCCAAGGGGCCCCCCAAAAAACCCAAGAGGCCCCCAAGATGTCCTCAAGAAGCCTCCCAAAGGCTCCAAAGAAACCCCCCATAGGCCACACAGCGACTGGAATGCAACGCAATTTTTCCTACCTGGGCGAACTGCGGCGCAACGCCAGCCAGGTGGAAGTTGGTCACAGCGGCGCCCATGATTAGAGCCGGCGCTGGAAGGAAATATGGGGAGGGAGTATGCAAAGGAGGGAGGGGGGAGAGGCCCCCAAAAAGTCTCAAAAAAAAAAACCAAAGGAACCTCCCAGGAGGCCTCCAGGAGGCCCCCAAGAGGCTCCCAAGAGGCTCCGCGACGACGTGACTGCACGTGCTCTGGACGTGCACCCCGCGAAGCGAAAGGAATCCACGTTTGCAGGTGACGTGCTGAGCGGCAGCATTTTCCGACGATGCTGTAACGCAGTGTTCCCAACACCCCCCCCTGGGAACTGCTCCACAGGAGCGGACCAAAGTGCCCTCCCCCTCCCGGGGCTCAAAAACCTACCAAAACCTATAGAAAATGTATGATTTCGACTTCTTGGGCCTCTCGGGGGGCCAAGAGGGCGCCAGGACGGTTCAAAATGGGCTCTGTGCGGGCCAAGACGGCCCCGAGACGGTCCAAAATGGCCCCAAGAGGGCAAAAAAAAACCCAATGACGGCCCAAGAGGGCCCCAAGAGCGCCCGCAACTGCGCCTCCAGAGGCCGAAATCATTGATTTCCCTATGGTTCTGTAATATGTTAGCGTTCTCGCCTTGGCGGCCCAAGCAGCTTCCCAAATCGCTCCAGAACAACAGCCCACGAAGCCCCCAAGAGGGCCCCAATACGGCCCAACAGAGCCCCAAGACGGCCCAAAGAGGCCCCCAAGACGGTCCAAGAGGCCCCTATGACGGCCTAAGAGGACCCCAGGACGGCCCCAATGCGGCCGCGAGAGGTCCCCAAGACGGCCTCCGAAGGGACGAAACGGCGCAAAAACGCCCCACTATGGCCAAAGACGCCCCCAAGAGGCCCCAAGAGGCACCCAAGAGGCCCCCAAGGGGCCCCCAAGGGGCCCCAAAAAGCCCCCAAGAGGCCTCCAAAACGTCTTCAAGAAGCCTCCCAAAAGGCTCCAAAGAAGCCCCCCGCAAGGCCACACAGCGACTGGAGTGCAATGCCACTTTTCCAACCTAGGCGAACTGCGGCGCAGCGCCAGCCAGGTGGAAGTCGGTCGCAGCGGCGCCCATGATTAGAGCCGGCGCTGGAAGGAAATATGGGGAGGGAGCACGAGAAGGAGGGAGGGGGGAGAGGCCCCAAAGAAGAAGCCCAAGGAAGCTCCCAGGAGGCCTCCAGGAGGCCCCCAAGAGGCTCCCAAGAGGCTCCGCGACGACGTGACTGCACGTGCTCTGGACGTGCACCCCGCGAAGCGAAAGGAATCCACGTCTGCAGGTGACGTGCTGAGCGGCAGCGCTTTTCGGCGAACGCCTTGATGCAACGTGTCCAATGTATCCAAAGATTGCATACTTGCCACATATTGCAGTGCGTAACATTATCATGCCCCCCCCCGGACCCCCCCTTGGGAGCTGCGCCACAGGAACGGGCCAAACTGATCGGCCTTGTCCTGAGGTCTCAAAACTCACCACACCCAATGGAAAAGCACTGATTTGGGTCCCTTGGGCCGCTTGGGGGTCCAAGAAAGCGCTCCAGCGGCTCAAGATGGCTTCGAAACGGACTCATATCGCCCCGAGGCGGTCCAAGTTGGCTCCAAGCGGGCCTCAGAGGCCCCCATGACAACCCAAAACAATCCCAAGAGGGCCCCCAAGAGCGCCTCCATAACCCAACATTATAAATGATCCTATGTGGTTTGACAACGTTCTCGCCTTCTTCGGCTCTCGGAAGCCTTCAAAGCCCAAGCAGCCTTCAGGATAGCCCCGAGAAGGCCCAATAAGCCCCCAAGACAACCCAAGAGGGCCCCAAGACGGCCCAAAGAGGCCCCCAAGACGGCCCAAGGGGCCCCGACGACGGCCCAAGAAGACCCCGAGAAGGCCCCAAGGCGGCCGCGAGAAGCCCCCGCGACAGCTTCCGAAGGGGCCAAACGGCGCAGGAGCGCCTGAAGACGGCCCTGGGCGCCCCCAAGAAGCCCCCAGAGGCCCCCAAAAGGCGCCCAAAAGGCCTTCCAAAGGCTTTCCTTTTTCTTTTCTTGTTTTACTCCCCAGGGCCCCCAGCGGACCCCGCCAGCAGGCCCGCGCGCGCCCCCCCCCCCCCCCTCCCCCCCCCAGCGGCCTGGGCCCAGGCCTTCGCGGCCCGCTTCAGCATGTCCGAGAGCGGCCCCCCGCGGTGCTCAACGTCCACGTTGCGCTAGCAGGACCAGCTCTCGCGGCAGCTGCCTTCCCGTCTGCGGGTGCTTTCCTGCGGGGATGCGGTCTCGCTTCTTCCTTTTTTTGCGTCGTTGTTTTTGAAGACTTGCCCTTCTGCTCCAAGGGCCCTGGGCACGCTGCCCCCGGCCCCGCTCTCCTCGTTGCCGAGTGGGCCCCGCGCGCCGCGCGCGCCGCGTATGGCCCGTGTACTTCCACTCGGTGATCGCGCACAGCGGGTCGATCTTCGCCTTCGCGACGCCCGCGTTCATGCGCCCCTGCTGCCACTGCCCCCGCAGCCGCGAGAGCAGCGCGTGCCTCGAGCGACCCCGAAGCTCCCGTCTTCCTCGTGCCTGAGGATATCAATGGGGGCGCCTCGCACTCCGCCCCCCGCGGCTTCTTCCGCGTGCACTTCGAGGCCGCTCTCTCCCCGCACTTGGCGCACGCGAGCCACTTGCCTTTGTTGATGACATCGTGGCTTGTCAACGCTAGCTTCTGCTGGACTATCCTCCTCTTCGGTTATCCTGGCTCACGCTTGGGGGCGTCGGGCCATTCGCCGTTCATCTTCTGGCACCGCCATCCGATGTTCTGCGCCGCCCAGCGCGCCCTCGCGCCCAGCTCCCCCAGCGCCTGCTGCTTGCCGAAGTTCGCGTCCAGCCCAGCCCCTGCCTTCGCAAGCAGGTCTACCTCGCCGTTGCCCTTCGCGATCTTGAGCTCGCCCCCCTGTAACTGCGCTATCCTGGCCCTGGCCCTGTGGGCCTCAACATGGAAAACCGTGCTCACGTCTAAGTCCGCGTCCTTCACTTTGCGCCAGATTCTGCGCCGCAAGTCTGCATGCGGCCTCTTCCAGCTCGTGCACCGCCGCTCGCCTGTCTTCAGGCCGTCGATGGTGCCCGCGTGGTCCGCGTAGATCCTGAAGGGCGGCAACGCGTTCTCCAGCGCCTTCAGGAAGGCCCGCGTCTCCGCACGCTTCGCCCCCCACCGGACTGGTAGGGTGCACGGCTGCGGCCCCCACAACTGCACCTTTGGCTTCCCGTCTTCGTTGATCGACATCGCTGCCCAGCCTGTCTGCGCCCGCTCGGCGTAGCCCAGCTTGGGTCCGTCGCACGCGATGTCGCCCGTGAATGTATCATCGTCACCCTCAAACGCTGCCCCTTGGCACTGATCCTCGCTCACTCAGACAAAGCGCCAGTCCGCCTCAGGGCTCCATGCCAAACCGCGCGTGGTAGACTGCCCTCCTGCTGCTCCGCCACGCGCTGCCAGTCCGCCTGCGCCTCGAGCCTCTGCTGCCTCAACGCCTCACACTTGCACAGCCTGTGGCGCGGTGTGCCCACCGCGTTCCCGCAGCCCGAGCAGATGTCAGTCGGCGCGATGTCGCTCTCGCAGAGCTTGCTCATCGTCCAGCTGCCACCGATGAACACCTTCTTCGCAGCGCTCTTCGCGTGCTTGGAGAAGCCCTTCGCCTTGAACTGCGACGCCGAGGGCGCGATGCACGGCGCCGGCTCGAGGCTGCTGTACTCGGGCGCCTTCGTCCATTCTTCACAAAGCTTGGTCTGGATATCTCTTCGCATCATCGCCGCCACGTCCATGGGGCACACCTCCCTCAGGTTCAAGACATGCCCCTCCTTCGTGCGCATGCTGCGCCAGGCTGGCCACGCCCAGTCCGCCCTCTTCAATGACATGATGACCGCTCCTGCTGGCCCTCGAACTCTCGCCCAGGTAGGCCGCGTGCCCACCTCTTGCTGCTGCCGCCTCCAGGCCTACATCAGCATGTCCGCCGTGCCGCCCCCGTGCGCTGCTGAGTCTGACCGTCCAGCATGTGGCGACGCTGAACCTGAGCAAGGCTCAGGATTTTGTTCCGACCGTCCAGCAAGTGGCGACTCTGAACCTGAGCTTAGCCCAAGATGTTGCACCTCGCTGTCCGTGTAGATACTGGGCCTCTGCTCTGCGTGCCAGACTGCACGTGCCCACTGCACTATGGGCGCCTCCGTGACCTCGAAGGTGGGCTCCTCCTGCGCCGCCGCCAGCTGCAGCGTGGGACTCTTAGCTCCACGTCCTCCTGGCAACGCACGTCCAGTTTCACGTCGTGGTAGCCGCAACTGCTGGTCTGGCATGCCCAAACACTTGCACCCGCACAGCACCGACCTCTTCAACCCGCATTTGTAGAGCAAGGTGGTCCCTCTCTGCATCTTGCGCCCTCCGCCTTTCAGGTTGACGAGCTTTCTTCGTCCGCGAGAGCATGCCTCTGAAGCGCTTCTTGCTCTTCGACTTGGCCGCCGACCCGTTTGCGATCAGATCCGCCCCCAAGTATGGACGCGCTCGCACCACTGGCAAACCACGTTTCTGCATCTCCTTGGCCGCTGCCTTCCGCGCCCACTTAGTACTTGCCATAACTGTTCCCTCCCCGGCTGTTCCTACCGAGAACTCGAGGCCCAGCTTGTCGAAGCCCTCGAAGCACGCGTGCAAGGTCTCCATGAACTCCTCCACTATGCGTTGCTGCTGCCTCCTGAGCCTGACGCACAAGTCGTCCACGTACATCCTCCATTTGGCGGCCTCTCGACCACCAGACCGCCAGACGTCGACTGGATGACCATCTTGAGGAAGCTGACCGAGAGCTTGCTGCCTGCAATGATGGTCGTCACCGTGCTCGCCTCGCTCGACACCGGCTCCGACGCCATGAGCCTTCTCGCCATGGCAAACTATGAGCACACCACCGCCAGCACCCCTGCTTGGAACTTGAGCTGCCTGCCAGCCTCCCGGAGCACGAAGAGGCTAACCCGCTCGAGCGCCGTGGCCAAGTCGAGGATGGCCGTGATCGCCGCCTCCGTGCACTCATCTTGCACGTCTGGGTCGTCCATCTCATGGCTGAGCAATGCGCCCCAGGCTGCATCCTCCGCTGCCTTGCCGAAACTCGTGCAGACCACATGACCTCTGGTTCTCCTTCACCCAGCGCTGCATGTACGGCTCCCGCATGATCCCCCATATCCTGATGGTGGTTGGCAGCAGCCCTGTCGCCCTGTCCGTGGTGAACGTTTTGGGGGCCATGCAAAACAGCACTGTTCCCATGTCTACTCGCCGCGCCAGCGTCTTCTCCACCTCTCGCAATATGGCCAGCAGCGTCTCGCGCGCCCCGTCCGACGCCCCCTGCAGCAGCGATGGGCGTCACCTGTCAGCACCCACCCCCGTCTTCTTTCGACCGCATCCTCGTCCGTGGAATCGCCCAGCTGCTCCCTGGCCTCGATCCCGCGGCCTCTCCTGCTGCTGCATCGGATCGTCCGTGCGCCACACTGCCTTCCACTTCTTCAGTGCAAGCTCCGCCGCTTCCAAGGGGTCCGCTGACTCCGCCATGGAGTCTGCGCGCCTCGGTCGCCAAACCGCCGCTGGTTTGCTCAGCTCGCGCAGGCCCCCCGCCGAACCCGCCGCCGCCGCCTCGAGCTTCTCTGCCCGCTTCGCCCCCCTTTCCTTGGCGAGCCGCTGGTCCGTCTCCTCTGACCTGGCGGCCGCCTCCTGGCATAGCTCCTGCAACTTGTCTCTCCGCGCTCTACTTCGCCAGCGACCGCTCGCCGGCAACTCGCGCCGCGCCTGCCGCGCGCCCTGCTCCTCCGCGGGGATGCGCATCATGCGGTTGCCCAATTATCTCGAACAACCTCTCCTGCCCCTTGGCCCCCCGCGCGCTTGCCCCAGTGCTCCGTCGTCGCGCGCAGCTTCGCGCGAGCGCCCTTCAAGTTTCGCAAGGACCTGGACAACCACCTCCACCATATCGCTTGCCCAGCTGCCTCTGGAAGGTTGCCCCCTCCAAGTGTGAGGGGCTTGATCTTCCACGTCGGGATCTCTGAGCGCCCAGCGCGCGGGCCCTCCTCGTCCCGCACCGTGCCGCTGATTGCGAAAGCCTCCTGCTCTAGCTTGCGCATGCACCTGGCCCACTCCTGGTCCGCATCCCCCTGCGCGTCGAACGGCCCAACCTGCTGGTGGCTCGGCGGCGCTGGCGCACAGCCGATCTGCAGCTCTGGCACGGGCTTCGGCTTCTCCAATGCCCGTGCTCTTCGCTCCACCACCTTCAGCTTGATAGTGATGCATGCGGGTTCGTGTGGCGCAAATGGCCACTCCCCCTGCGCTCGCGCGCCCTCGACCTGCGCCTTCACCGAGCCGGGCGCGATGAAGTAATCGATCTCGCTGGTGCCGTGAGCATGCCCGCGCGCCCCGCAAGCCGCATTCGGCGCTATGACGCACGCCTTGGCAATCTTCAGCGACCCCACCTCAGCGAGAATATCTGGCTTCACCCGGAAGTCCCCCCCTATGATCCACGGCGCCCCCAAGGTCTCCAGCTGCCCCGCGACGTGCGACACCAACTCCCTGTTCCGATATGACATGCCCCCTGCCGTCCACAAGTACATTGATGCTATGGCCACGCCACCGCGCCTTTGCCTGCCCATGCCCGCGCCGCTGCTGCTCGGCCTGGACTTCCCTTCGGCGATATGCCCCACTTGTCTTGGCCGTGCACGTAAGTCATCCCAACGCACCTCGGTGCCGCCACTGCTACTCCAGCTGACGAGCCCGCCTCGCCTGCTGCCCCCGCAGTCGACGCAGCTGCGGCACCGCCCACTCGGTAACCCTGCGCCTTCATCGCCTGCGTCACCACAGGCCACTTGTCGTCCGCGAGGTGATGCTCCTGCACTGCGTAGCACTGCGAGGCCCCATGCACCTTCTCACCGAGTTTCTCCTCGATCGTGCCCCAGCCCGAACCGTTGAAAGTCCAGGCCGTGAGCTTGTCGTACTTCTTCTGGTTGTGAGCAGTGTTAGGAACGCCTCTGCCGCTTGACCGAGCGCTCGGCCAGGCTGGTGCAGATTTCGATCCACCGCTTATTTTACTCATCGCTGGCCCCTTCAGGCGCTCCACCTTGCTTGAGCCAATCCTGTTCATCTTGAGTAAGCTTGGGTCCATCGTATTCTGGTTCGGGCTTGACTCCGCCACCCCTGCTCCCAGCTGCGCCACGAGGACCACCAGGCGGAGGATCCATGGGAACGTCCTCCTTCGCGTTGGCCATGACCTTGCCGAGCTGGGCGAATAGCTGCTGGCACTCGACAGGGGAGACGCCGCTGCCGTCGACTGCCTTCTCGTACCGCTTCTGCATCGCCTCCAAGAAGCCCTGGGAGGGGTCTCCGACGCCCTGCGCCTTGAGCTCCTGCTCGCGCGACTTGGCAATGCTGAGTTGCTCCTGCTTATTGGCCAGCCGCTCGCGCGCGTTCGCAAGCTGCTGCTCGAACTGCCGCACCTCGTCCTGGATGCTGCTGACTTCCTTCTCTGCCGTCTCCTTTTGCAATGCGCGCATGGGAAAGCTGCAAGCTGTGCGGCTTGGCATTATCCTTATTCTGGCGCGCGCGCCTTCTGGTACTTGTCCTGAGCATGCTGGTATTCCGTCGACGTCTCCCCCCACTCTCCCTTGCAAGCCTGGGCCCACTTGTACAGCTTAGAGAGGTCGGTATTCGGCTTTTCCACGTTGCTTTCCATGTCGCGGTTGCACCCTTTTCTGCGAGAGAACTCTTCGCGCATGGCGTCCATCTTCTTCTGCATGGCTGTCTCACGTTTCGAGGGGGCGAGCAAGACCTGCTTGAATGTTGCCGCCTGGCGTGGCGCTGGCGCACCGCATCCTCGGCATTTCTTCCTCGTCGCGTAGTTGTCCATGTTGCCACACGAGCAGGACCACATGCTGTTGCCCTGCTGCCACGTGTTGTTTCTCCATCCCGCCGCAGGCGCCATCGCTCGCACGGACGGGCCGATTGCCGAGCAGCAAGCTGCTCTGACAGCCGCGGACTAGCGGTATCCTTGTCTCCACAGGGGCAACGGCCCCGAGGAAAACATATTGAGCCAAAATGGCGACGGAAAACAAAAACTTCCCAAAGGCCCCAAAAAGCCCCCAAGAAGCCCCCAAGAGGCCCCAAGGAGCTTCCGAACGGGTCCGACGGCGCAAGAGCGTCCCGCGACGGCTCCAGACGCTCCCAAGAGGGCCTCAGAAACCCCACTGAGGCCCCAAGGAGTCCCGAAAGAGGCCCCCAAAAAGCTTCCAAGAGGCCTCCACAAAGGCCCCAAGACGGCCCCAGAAAGCACGCAGAGGCCTGCGCAATTGTATACGAATGGCAAGTTCTTGCGGCGCTTCGGGGCAGGCAGGACGGCACGGTCCCTCAACGACCTCCGTGCGCGTGCGTTGACAAGAAGGGCAAACGAGGCAACCCCCAGACTGCGCGCATCCCCTTCCCATGAAATTTTTCATGGGTGCGGTCACCAAGGGCTCGGGCGATAGTGCGGGCACAGCACGCGGCGAATTCGCCGATGCAGGGCGATAGCTGGGGAAAGGCGACACGGCAGACCAGCGACACTGACCTGCAAAGCAAACCACCCGACGTCCAGTCGCTACGTGCTCCGGACGTGCACCCCGCGAAGCGAGAGGAATCGAGATTGAGTCGAAGCGGCCTGGACAACATGGATATCACATCGGATCGATCGGATCTAATGGGCCCTGGTCTGGGGAGTGAAGATAGGCAAAGAGCAGCATGAACTGGGCGTAGATAACATACTAGTACCATGCGTCGCGCACTTTGCACCCTCCTTGGAGGCGCACGTCCGAACCGAACACATAGCACACAATATCTTAGATTGTACTGTTATCCAGGCGGTATGGCCAGACAGAGCTGAACGACGAACGCACTGAGCGCGCGCTTGGTCCCTGGGGGGCGGGCCGACGCACACATAGTATGAGAATGATTGGGCAATGCCTAAAAATTGTCGGAGGTCCGCGCGGACTTCCTCGATCGGCGCTGGACCCCCTCGCTGGCGCGCGGAGCGTGCCAAGTTGTGTTATGAAACATATGTTGTTCAAGAAGAGGCCCCGGCGAAGACCTGAACAAAGAGTACCGGCACAGCGCCCCGCGCAGCAGCGACTTACCACACGGGGGGGCCACTTGTGGAGGCAAGGCCAGCCCTGTCGCCCTGGGCTCGTGAAACTCTCGCCCGCTCCTGCAAAGATGAGTCTGCCCGCTCCGAATACCCTAAGTCCACATCTCTCTCTCTCTCTTTCTCTCTCTCTCTCTCTCTTTCTCTGCGTAACCCGTGGAACGAAAAGGCTACCTGAGGAGCCAAAGTCGGCCCTGTCCCGGAGCCCGAACGGTGCTGGCAAACTCGTCAGATGTGGCCTGGCCCCTCGCCAATGATAGCACCCAGGGTTTCGCAGAATGGCCAGCTACCAAAGAGGTACCCGATAACCTCCTACGACAGTTCAAGTTTCGCCCAAGATGGCCGGAAAGCACGTCCAACATCACCTGGTGAAACAATCGTCGCCACTGTATGACGAAAGCCACGACGCCGACTACCGCGAGAAAAGCTTGTCAAGGGCACTGAACGCTGACTGCACAGCACAACGCTTGCGCTTGCCATGCTCGCACGAAGCCAACAAGCAGATAGTGGAAAGGACATTGAGTCGAAACATAAGAGCATCACACCAAGAAGCTACTCGAAAACCTTCTTGACGTGATCATGCATTCATACAGTGTGGCTCGTCATGGACAATGGCAATGCATCATAATTCATGACGTGGGGCGGGTCAGAGAAGCAGTGGGTACGCATGATGTTTGATGCACTGTGGGTCTGATTCGCGAGAGATGCGTCACGCTACAATGCGCAATGATGCTGCCCATCCCACCTGCGCTACAGCGCTAGTGTAGCTCTGGAAATCGCAGACCTGCCATGCAAGCACTCTGCACAGAGCGAGGAGGTAATAAGCGAGTGAATCAGGTCGCTGGTCACATCCTCGCAATCGCCAAAGCCCTGCTCCTGCGATCGCCACTGCTGCTCTACCCCCGCCCCCCTCACACTCCACAGCTTTCCACCACAAGATTATGCAAATGCCGACGAAACCCCTGATGTGTGCTACCGCCTTCGATTCAGCTACCTTCGAAGCTTCAACAACTTCTCTGAAAACCCCAGCAACAATCAGATCGCTTCTATTCCTAATGCATGTTCTCACAAGCAAGAGCTGATCTACATGTCCATAGTGCGCCGCAACATTCAATCCCAACTTGCTGCAACATTCAGATGTCTGGCACATGATTCTTAAACTTACCAGGTCCACGAAGAACCCAGAATGGCCGCTGCGCTAACGGAATGTCAGAATTCCTTTTGGGGGGTGCAGGTCCGCTATGACACCTGTCGGTAGATAGAGGCATAACTCAGCGCTACGGGGGGGATGGGTGGGAGGGGTGATGTCGGATGTGGTGTGAGCGCACCTCGCTTGCCTTCCCACATGTTCCCCCCTTCTGCCAGCCCTCCCCTCGAAGGCCATCGTCGGCTCGAAGGAATTTCGGGCGCAGGTAATCCGCCGACCCCAGAGGCGTGTGCGACCTCCCTGTTCGAGGGACACGTGTGTTTATACAGCATACTCTCTCTCTCTCTCTCTCTCTTTCTCTCTCTCTCTCTCTCTCTCGCCAGTCCGCACTCTTCACTTTTCCCTGGTCAACTCCTCGCCCCCGCACCCTCACCTCTGGACGTCTGCATCCCGCCAGCCCCACGAGACATGCGGGGACTCCCACACCTTCCACCTGGCCCCCACCTGGCCACCACCTGGCCACCGCCTGGCCACCGCCTGGCCCTGACACCGCCAAGCCTTTTGGGCCCTGTTCTTGCGACTCCCCACCCCACGATCTCGCCCAAAATCAAGCCATACCCCCCACCTGGCCGTCACCTGGCCACGACACCCCCACGCTTTTGGGCTCTGTTCCTGGGACCCCCCACCCAATTGTTTCTCGCCCAAACACGACCCACGCTCCGCACCTGGCCACCGCCTGGCCACCACCTGGCCCCGACACCCCCAGGCCTCTGGGCTCTGTTCTTGGGACCCCCGACCACGCGATCTCTCGCCCAAAAACGACCCACACCCCCCATCTGGCCACCACCTGGCCACCACCTGGCCCCGACACCCCCAAGCCTCTGGGCTCTGTTCTTGGGACCCGCGTCCCCGCGATTTCTCGCCCAAGAACGACCGACACCTGCCACCTGGCCACCCTCTGGCCACCACCTGGCCTCGACACCCTCAGGCCTCTGGGCTCTGTGCTTGGGACCCCCGACCCTACGATTTCTCGCTCAAAAACGACCCACACCCCCGACCTGGCCACCACCTGGCCACCACCTGGCCCCGACACCCCCAGGCCTCTGGGATCTGTTCTTGGGACCTTCGACCCTGCGATTCCTCGCCCAAAAACGACCCACACCCCCCACCTGGCCACCACCTGGCCACCGCCTGGCCCCGACACCCCCAGGCCTCGGGGCTCTGTTCGTGCGACGTTCGACCCTACGATTTCTCACTCAAAAACAACCCACACCCTCACCTGGCCACCACCTGGCCACCACCTGGCCCCGACACCCCAAAGCCTCTGGGCTCTGTTTTTGTGACCTTCGACCCCACGATTTCTCGCCCAAACACGACCCACACCCCCCACCCGGCCATCGCCTGGCCACCACCTGGCCCCGACACGCCCAGGCCTCTGGGCTCTATGTTTGCGACCCCCGACCCTGCGATTTCTCGCCCAAAAACGACCCGCACCCCCGACCTGGCCACCACCTGGCCACCACCTGGCCCCGGCACCCCCAGGCCTCTGGGCTCTGTGACCCACGCCCCCCGCCTGGCCAGCACCTGGCCACCACCTGGCCCCGACACCCCCAGGCCTTTGGGCTCTGTCTCGGGACCCCCGACCCCACGATTTCTCGCCCAAAATCAACCCACACACCCCGCCTGGCCACCACCTGGCCACCGCCTGGCCCCGACACCCCCAGGCCTCTGGGCTTTGTTCTTGGGACCTTCGACCCTGCGATTTCTCGCCCAAAAAACGAACACCTCCCAATTGGCCGCCGCCTTGCTACCGCCTGGCCCGACACCCCCAAGCCTTTTGGACCCGCGACCCTACGATTTCTCGCCCAAAAACGACCAGCCCCCCCCCCCCCCCCCCGGCCAGCACGTGGCCACCACCTGGCCCCGCCACTCCCAGGCCTCTGGGCTCTGTTCTTGGGATCCCCGACTCCACGATTTCTCCGCCAAAAACAACCCACACACCCCACCTGGCCACCACCTGGCTACCACCTGGCCCCGACACCCGCAGGCCTCTGGGCTCTCTTCTTGCGACCCCCGTCCGCGCGATTTCTCGCCCACACGCGACCCGCGCCCCCCACCTGGCCATCACCTGGCCACCACCTGTCCCCGACACCACCAAGCCTCTGGGCTATGTTCTTGCGACCCCCGACTGCGCGATCTCTCGCCAAACAACGACCCACACCCCCCGCCTGGCC